ACACTACGTACACATACAATTACACACATACATACACACATACACACATACGGACACATTACGTACACTCACAATTAATCACACACACACTACGTACACACACAATTACACACACACACACACACACACACACACACACACACACACACACTCACACACACACACTTAGTCCCTCCCACAAGACTCACCTGAAGTAATGACAGTCCCCGCAGTACTGATAGTCTCCATTCTCTATGTTCAGGCAGTCCTCCTCTGTCTCCATACAGAAGCCCGCTGTATACGGGAGGGAAGGATGGTCATCAATGGTCTTGTTAGAGAATGTTGTTCATTCATTGCTCACGACGTTTTAGAGAATATTGTTCATTTATTGTTCTTGATCTTTTCAAAGAATGGTGTTCATTCATTGTCGTGGTCTTTTAGAAACTGATGTTCATTCATTGTTCATGTTCTTTTTAGAAAATATGAAATTATTGTTCATTCATTGTTCATGATCTTTTTAGAAACTGTTATTCATTGATTGTTCATGGTCTTTTTAGAGAATGTTGTTAATGTGTTGTTCATGATCTTTTTAGAGACTTATGTAGAATCTACATTCATTGTTCATGATCTTTTTAGAGAAGGCTGTTCATTTATTATTCAGGATTTCAAACTGATTTATACAAGGAGTGTTCATCATTTTTTTTTTACCTCAATCATTATCGATTTTTAGACTGAAATATTTATTTATTATTGACCATTATAGACGGGGAGGTACATCAATCTATTATTGATTTATTATATATTTTAGATAAGGATGCTCTTACAATATTACATGTTGTATTTTTAAAAATAAAGATATTCATTTATCATTCATGATTCTTTTTTTCTTTCTTTTTCAAACCAGGATGGTATTCATGGTGTTTTTAGAGACTGCATGTTCCTTCATTTTTCAAGATTTTATTAAAGGAGGATGTTCATTCATCATTCATTGCACATTGCTTTTAGACTAGGATGTACATCTATTCTATATGATCTTTTTAGAGAAGGGTGTTCATTTTTAGTGTTCAGGATCATCATTATTATTAGAGAAGGATGTTAATTCATTAAACATTAATTTTTAAAAGATAAGATGTTCATCCATTATTTTAAATCATTGCAATAAATTAGGCCACGTGACATTCTATATTTTGTGTTTTACCCTCGCTCACAACCCAGAACGGGGGAGCAGTGTTATCTGGCACACAGAATCAAAACAGGCTGATTTCTAAATGTGAGGCAGCGTGGTGAAATCAGGCTCTCGTCAAAATAATCAAAGTGAAGAAACTTGCATTTTCCCGCAGGTTTGTGAATTTTTATCAAATTTTTTTTCCGGCTCAGCACCTTTCACGCCCATTAAATAACTCATTTTTGGGTGGATTTTTCTGAAAAAACATTGATTAAAGGCACAAAAAATGTTAATTTTCAGTTATCAGGGACTCTTAAGCTAAGGAAATAACTACTCTTTGGCGGCCATTTTCTCACTAATTTTACCTCTGAAAACATGAAATCCCCACCTCTTTCTTTCGCAAATATCTCGACTTGTATCCTAGATAAATGGATAGTTTTTTCATCCAAACAAAGACAAGTGAACAAGCTTTAAGATGATACCAATAACTCTACATGCCCAAAAATTAACGAGAGCCTGATGCCACCACGCTGCCTCACAAATGTTTAACTTTCTGTCGATGGAAACACAAATCATTTACAATCATTATTAGAAAAATAACCTGTACTTACTGATATTGACAAATGGGAGTTCTGTGGCATCTCGATCTGAAAAGTTACCGGAAAAAAATGTTTAAGTGAAGGTCGGAAATTTGAAGGGGTCCTTGAGCACACACGGTTATGTAGGGGAAAATACTGAGAGGAAGTTTAGATCAAGGGTATGATGAACAAGTAAGGAATTATAATGTAATAGTTGGTTCTCGATAATTCCTGTTCTCAACCCTCCTCCTCGCCCCGCCCGTCTCCATGGACGTGGGAGCTCGCACACGCGCCATCACAAGCACACACACATACAAACACACACATACATACACACATACACACACATACACACACACACACACACACATACACATACACACATACATACACACACATACAAACACACACACACACACAAATACACATACATACACATA